AGCCAGCCATCAATAAAGAAGGTTTTCTAGATCCTATTTTTTCTTTTTGTAAAATAATTATTTTTAATTAACATATAATGTATTATTTGTTTCAAGGGTACAGGTCTGTGATTCATCAGTCTTGTATAATACCCAGTGCTTATTACAACACATACCTTCCCCAAGGGCCATCACCCACGTAGATCCTAATTTTAAAGGAGCCTGTTGGTCATCCCCTGGAGTGTTGTGGGTATTCTAAAATGTCATCAGAGGAAGACAGCCCGTGAGCCCCCACTGAAAGGGACCTTAACAAGTGCCCCTGACCACTGACCCTGCTCCAAAACTAAAAGATGCTAGAGACCTCTAAATCAAATCCACAGGAAGAGAAGTAGCTGACATGGAGGTAGACTGCTTCCACTCAAGTTGCTGGATTAAGACTTCATACTGTGAACATAAAACCCCTTCTCCCTCTTTTCCTTTCTTTTCCTCTGGCATTGGCCTAGAAAGATAACACCCTCATCTGTATCTCCCAGGCCACTGCTAAGGCAGGGACTAACATCTTTGATTTCAGGCTAGGAGAAAATCTAAATGTGCCCCTAATTTTTCACAAGCAACATAATACATCTTATTAGTTGATTCTCCTAAATTTACATTGTTGAGTTAAAAAGGACCTCTCAGGAGGCTTTTGAGACTCAGGACTCACTCCTTTTGGCAGGTCCTTTTTTCCTTGGCTAGGGATAAATATAAATGAAGCTATAATCCAAAATATCTCCTTAAAATTATTGCAGAATCTTCTAAAGCAATAGCAGCTCAACAAAGATCCTCAAACTCTCTAGCCAAAGTTGTTTATGATAATAGAATAGCTCTTGATTATCTTGTAGGTGAGCAAGGAGGTGTCTGTGTTTTGTCCAACACCACTTGCCATACCTAGATTAATGCTTTTGAGGAAGCTAAAACTCAAATAAGGACAAGCTGCTTGGCTTTAAAAAGGTGACTCCTTTCATGGGGTTTTTCCTTGACTTATTTGATTTTGATGGTTGGGTCTTGGGGACCATGGTTCCAAAATATACTCTAAATATTGGGAATCATCCTGCTTATATTAATCATAATGATCTCCTTGGTGTATTATATTCTCTCAGAAACTTTAAATGTATGTTTGCAACTACTAACCACCAAGCAACTATGACTGGAACATCTAAGGAACAACAACAAAAATTATCAACTTAAAAAATGTCAACTGGAAAATGTGACCTATGAATATCACAGAGGTTAAGTAAAAATGTCATGGCCTATGGCCACCTCACCAAGGAGGAACAAAAGCTGTGAGAGACACTAATGTTTTAAAGTTTGATCACATCTGTCAGTTAAGCTGAGTCTGCTGAAAAGGCGGGGGGGGGGTGCTTGTTAGGAAGAAAACCACAGGCCCAAAATGGCATCACTTCGAAGAATTTCCCAAAGCATGGCTTGATACCTATTCTAATTGTTGCTTCAACCTCCCCCAGAAATGTAGTCTTAACCAGTCAGGAATATTTCAGTCAGTGCCAATCAATCTGCCAATTGGTCCTCTTCCTCCCTCAAAAAAAGAGGTAATCTGTATGATAAAACACCTTGCTTTCCCCCCAGAAAGTGGCTTCCCCTAAAATAATTCTTTTGCTAATATCCTTCTTGCCCCACCCTCCTTCTATAAAAGCCTTTCATTTTGTGCATCTCCTTGGACTTCCCCTCACCCCCATTTGCTAGATGGGATGCTGCCCCATTTATTAATTGTTTAACAAAGCCAATTAGATCTTTAAAATGTGCACAGCTGAATCTTAGTCATTTAACAAATGGAAGAAAGAGGGTAAAAAATAAGCATAAGCAATCAAAAAAAATCCCAAGATATTCAATAACTATCAGCATATAACAAGAACAGGTTTATGCTTTCAAAAACCTTTAACTCATTAAAGGCATAAATATATTGTGTTTACATGCCTGACTGCTGGGCTTTTTAAGCATTGTTTTCTGGAGAATGAGATTATTGAATACATTAATTTTTTTTTTGAGAGAGAGAACAAGAGCACTCACAAGTGGGGGTGGGGGATAGGTGTGGGAGAGGCAGAGGGAAAGGGAGGGAGAGAGAGACTCTCAAGCAGGCTCCACGTCCAGAGCAGAGCCCAACAGGGGGAGGGAGGATTCAATCTCAAGACCCCAAGACCATGTCCTGAGCTGAAATCAAGAGTCAGATGCTTAACCAACTGAGCCACCGAGGTGCCTTAGTACATTAATATTTTAATAAATTATTAACTGTAAAATTTTTAAATAACTGTTTTACCTTAAATACAGTGGGGACAGCTCACACAATTACTGTGAGGCACACTATCCTTAGCCACATCTTCCCTAGAAAACTTGGTCTTAGGTTTAGTAATTTACTCAGAGTTAAATTGGCAGAGGTGACTTCTGACTGTGCTCTTAACCACTATTCTGAAGTTCTCCAAGAGTTCTGACATTCAAATGTTTTTATTGAAATGTTTATAGATTTCAGAAACTGAGAAATTAGATCTTCTATCATGTCCCTATGTCCAATCTATTCTTTAAGACTTAGTTAAGAGTCTATTCCTGGGGGCACTTGGATGGCTCAGTTGGTTAAGCATCTGCCTTTGGCTCAGGTCATAATCCCAGGGTCCTGGGATCGAGTCTCACATCGGGCTCCCTGCTCAGCGGGGCGTCGGTTTCTCCCTCTGCCACTTCCCCTTTCCCCCTACTCATGTTCTCTCTGTCTCTCTCTCTCTCGCTGTGTCTTTCTCTCAAATAAATAAATAAAATCTTAAAAAAAAGAGTCTATTCCTGGTAAATGAAATTCTTATAATTTGATTTCTGAGACCTATCAAAGAATTTTATTTATAAACATTATATGTTCTATGGGGCCATTGCATCTTTTATATTATAGAAGTTTACCCAGAAGGAAAAACAATATTAGTTAAAGCACAGGGGAGAATTGTCTCTATCAAACTACTTTGGGGGCGCCTGGGTGGCTCAGTTGGTTAAGCGGCTGCCTTTGGCTCAGGTCATGATCCCAGGGTCCTGGGACTGAACCCCACATCGGGCTCCCTGCTTCTCCCTCTCCCTCTGCCTGCCACTCTGCCTACTTGTGCTCTCTATCTCTCTGTCAAGTAAATAAATAAAATCTTAAAAAAAAAAAAAACTACTCTGATGAGTGAGTCACCTGTGTGTAGAAAGATCCACCTTGAAGATGTGGCCAGGAGAACTAGTGAAAGTCAAGGAACTAGTGGGGATGAAGCGACAGTGTAAAAGATAGGCCTACTCTTGTGATGGTTCCTGCTATGTAAGTAAGCAAAATCCCTTAAGGACAAAGATAACTGATATTCAGTTTCCTATTTTCTGTTGAGTTCTGTGCTGCAAAATCATTTCACTGCCCCACCCTGCCCCTCACACATAGCCTGTTGTCCCAAAGTCTTCAATAAAGTTTACTACACAGTGATCAGAATAGGAGGCTGTGGGATGAGAAAGGCACAGAATAGGTAGGAGACAGGTTATTTTATGGAAAAAATTAGAGCCAGAATTGACAAGAAATCTAATCTCGTATTAGAATTAGAATTATCATGTATGTATTTTGACTTTCCTGTACTAACTGTACCTTGGGTTAAACAAATAGTTGGTGAGTACAAGTTTTTCTCTCTAATCTGGCTAAGAAAGGAAAAATAAAGTATCATCATTTTACAAGGAAACTCGGCAATGATTGGCAAAGGCTGTGAACATGACATGAAGAGAGAGAACCACATATTCTGTGTTCCTTATAAGGTATCCTTACCCAACATCTGAACTGGATTCACATCTATTCTCAATCGGAAAATTTACAGCAATGTAGCAGCTGAAGAACATGTTCACATTAGATACAACTCACAAAATTTCTGACTCTGGGGAGTGATATAAAACAAATAACATAGCTACTTCAACAAAGTAAATCTCAAGGAAAACAAAAGTTTTGAGGATAAAGTAGATGAGAGAGTATCAGAAAACTGCATCTTAACAATGTTTTCTTCTTTTCTTTAAGAATGTTATTTTATTTTTATTTGAATCCTGATTTAAGCAAATATGAAACTGCTGGGGAAGTCTGAATACTGAATAGGTATTTAATTAAAGAGTTATTTTTTAAATATGAAAATATATGAGAGTTTTGCATTAAAAAGTGTCTTTAACTTTTAGAAATTAAGTAAACATTTGATTATTTAATCATCATAAAATAGGTATTTGCTTTGAAATTATCCAGGTTTGGGTGGGGAGAAATGGATGGAGTATAGAAAACAGCATCTATTAGTTGATGATCAGTTGTTTATGTCATTTTTCATATCAAATGCAATACAATGTACACATTCATTTCAATAATCTCTAACCCTGATATGTTTTTCAGAATATGACTTTGTGATCTAGATCTGTCAACTCCATGTATTAATAGATTTTTAAGCTTACTAAAATATTTGGCAGCTATTCCAAAGAGAATACTGCAAGAAACAGTTTAATCACTAGATATAATTTTATCCTTAACTTGTATATTTACCATTTTATAAACTTATCTCTAAAAACCTTGAGTATTATCTAGAAATATCTCTTAATAAATTCCAATTCCAATTCCACTTTAGAACTGTGCCTAATTATGCTTTGAATGTTAAATAACATTAAGATTTTGTATTTATGGATATTAAGGACTTGTTTTCAAAACATAATCCCTCTCAGAAAATACAAAATTCAGCTTCTGTTCATTTTTTACCATAAAAAAAATACCAGTATAACAAATGCTGAACACCTTTGGTGTTCAACCAAAGGTTGAAACAAAAAACATTTTGTTCCCAAGTTTTCATTATAATGTATCAAGCCAGAATATATTAGGGTAATAAAATACATGAGGAAAAAATGGCTAGATTATGGCATATGCCTGCATGTTTAGGAAGAGAACTTGTGTGCAAAGTTCAATAGAGTATATAGATTCAGTAAGAGAATACCTTTTTTTTCTCTTATAGGCCCTACCTCCAGAGGATCTGTGGTTTCTTTTTTCAAGTGAGATTGTCTTAAGAACAATGAAATAGAGTAAGTTTAGTATCTTACTTCTGTGTATAACCCATGGACAACTCAAATGGTTGTCAAAAATATTACAGTGGAGTGGCCCTCCATTGCTAAGTAAAGGTACAGACTTAGAAATGGCTGTGACCTCTTCCACCCTAAAACACAAACTCAAGTTCTTTCTAAACTAACCTGTTATGTCATACAGCTGATATATAACCGATTACCAACTGGGAAGTGCAATTCTAGGAACGTGAAAGTGAGGGGAAAGGGAAGCAAGCAAAGGAGGGATGCAAAGCAACAACACCATGAGGAGAGAGTCCTGGCTAACTGCCCAGCTTGCTCTAAGGCAAGGGCATGAGCACCACCCAAAGTGCGGTTGCATCCCCAGCAGGTGGGTAGCAGCCTCCCTGACCCTCAGTACTCTATCTTTCTTTTGGTTATGGAAGGGGATAATTCCCTGTATTAAAACTTCCATATTTGGAAAACAGTAGAGTCTGTTTCCCTTGGTCAAACTGTGATTCAAAAGGCAACTCAAATTTCATTAACTTAGCTTAAATTTACATCTGTTTTGTTTCACACTGTTACATAACTTTTGGTTAGCATACTTTTCTTTATGAATACAACTATACATATGCTAATGAATTTTATGTTTTAGTCACGTTACACTTAGATATGTTAAGAAACAAGACAACACCCCAAAATGAAGTCACTTAGGTGAAGTTCCACGTCACCAAACCAAGACTTAATTAGAGTTTCAGCTCTCCTAGACATGGAATCTTAAACCTGGCCATCATGAATCCCTTGAGCAGCACTAGTTAGGTTAACTGCCTCCTAGACCCCTGCCATCCCCTAAAGGAAAATAACTTTACTTACAGCCAACCTGCCTTTTGGCTAAAGTATAATTTCTTGTTCCCACTCCGTAATTCCTGTGTCTTTTATCTTGTACAGTGAATGGAGCTCCTTTCTAGTTCAGATGCTGCCTGATTCAAGTCAGTTTTTGCCCAAATAAACTCTTACATTTTTTAATATGCTTTGGTTTATCTCTTAGCAGTTCTATTGCCAGAAGCAGGAACCAAAGGAGACCTCTGAAAGCCCCAGACAAGTAAGTAAGCAGGCAAATGGACTGAATGTGCCTTTTGTTCCTATTGAGCTCACTATATTCTTGCCATGTCTGGAGGTCATGGGAAGTCCCTTTTGAATCCTAGCTCTGCTTTCAGACTTTGAGCATTTCTTTTTCTGGAATGGACCTAGAAACTGACTGGAATCGAACTAGGTCTGAGTTAAGCTAGACTTGGTCCAGTGTGAGGCCTCAGGTGAATAAAACCTTATTCTAAGGCTGAACAAGCAGGTCAATCTTAACAAAGATAATCTAAGTGACTACAGTAGAGAAGTTTTAACCTAGATAATTTATCCATTTAGGAGGTGCCGTAGAGGAAAAGGGGTCTCAGCCAAGCATTCACCATAAAGAATAGAGGGAAAATTATATTTCCTCTCTTAGTTTCAGGTGACCAGGATGAGACTTGCTAGGATACCTCACTCCAGACAAGATCCTACAAAAAGTGGCAGAAGTCAACAAAGGGTGAGAATTCTCACCAAAGTCATTTCTCCCAGATCTCTGTCTGTAGGAAGGTAAAATTTCACATTGTCCCTTTCTTTCCAAATTCAGATTGGAAGTAAAAAAAATTAAGAATGAGGTCTTTGAATTGTGACTCATGAATTTGCTTTCAGATACCTGTGCTTTGTTGATCTTTTCTCTCCCAGGTTTAACTTTTGCCTTCTTGTTTGTCTTATTTTATGTACTGAGAACTTGGCTTGGCAACCTTCAGGTTGGGGACTCTAAAAATATGGCTGGACAGAAATGCATGTTGCATTTATATATGTGTTTATGTATGTCTACATATGTATGTTATAAACGTGTAATTTTTTCTATCTTCAAATGATATTGCCAGAATTAATTTGTAAACAGCTCTATTTAATTGGCCTGAAGACAACCATTTATATAAATTAAGTATGCTCTCAGAAATATAGAAACTAATCCCAATGTTTTTCCAGGTCACAAGACCTAGTATAATCTTTAGTAAATAGAAACTAAACATTGTTAGTTTAATTAAAACAGTCATGTCTTTAGGGTTATCAGAATTAAATATAACAATTTTATTCTACCTAGGTTTACTAAAGTCAAATAAGCTCACATTGTCTCTGTTATAGAATTTGTTAGCAAGAAAGATAACATAAAATGAAGGTTAGTTGCTTAATGTCTCAAAAAATTTTCATGACTAATCTAAACATAATTGTTAAGAACAAGTAAATTAAATTTATGTAAGTAAAATTTTACAAATGGAATTTTCAACAATAACTATGCTTTATCATGTGTTCAACTTTAAAAAAGTTTTCAAGATCTTTTTGGTAATTTGAAATCTCAAAGTTATACTGAGACAAATTAAAATGCGTATTTGTTGACTATGTAATTTCCAAATAAGATAAAATACTAAAACATTAATTACTGATCACAGGTTTACCCACTTTTGGCCTCCTTTTACAGATGAACTAAAGGTAATTGGGTCTATTAATAAACATACCACATTGGAAAATTTACTATGAGAAAGAATATGCTTCTAGAAATTATTATATATATTTATAAATTTGCCAGTCCACAGAATGCTGGTGTAACAATCCACAACTGCTTTGACTTCTTAGTTTTCACTAGGAATGAAAAATTCTAAGAGTTAAGAATTCTAATCAATATGTTTTGTTAAAACTACTTAGAAATAATAAAGGTGAAAGGAAACCACCATACATGAAAATTTGGTAAGGAAAGTAAAATGATTGTTTCAGAATGAGAAAGAGGAAAAAGCATAGGACAAAATCTGATTGGATATGCAAAAGTCGTAGAAGGTCTGTGGAAAGGGAATCTTGGAAAAGGAATTTTATGTGTGATCAAGCTGGCTAAAAATAGAATGGATTTTTTTTAAATGAGTTTTAATATCAAAAATGCACTGGTACAGGAGGGGGAGGAGCAAGATGGCAGAGGAGTAGGAGACCTACATTTTGTCTGGTCCCAGGAATTCAGCATGATAGGTACCAAACCATTCTGAACACCTACGAACTCAACAGGAGATCGAAGAAAAGAAAAGCAACAACTCTCTGAACAGAAAAGCGACCACTTTCTGGAAGGTAGAACGTGTGGAGAAGTGACTCTGAGGCGATATTCGGGAGGGTAGACGGTGGGGAAGGGGGCCTTCCACAGCCGCTACTGGCAAGTGATAGAGCTGCAGAGCACAAAATCGGAACTTTTAGAAGTCAGCTCCGCTGAGGGACATCACTCCAGTGGCTAAGCGGGGAACACTTGTGGGGACAGTGTGGTCTCAGGACTCTCGGGGTCACAGATAGACCGGGGGTGCCTGAGGGCGGCAGAGCTCCCCGGTATCGGAGCAGGGAAGCCGGGGGCAGAGATGGAGACATGGAGCAGGCTCTCAGCTCGGGGTTGCCATAAACTGTGATCCACAGCACAGTTGGGCCACTGCTCCTCCAGCAGGGACCCAACAAGCGGCAGAACAGGGAGACTCCCCTCCCTCCCCTGGGAGGAGCAGCGCGGGAGTGCACCTCAGGGATTTGCTGGATTTGGAGACTCCTCACGGGGTCGGGTGCCAGAGATAGAAACGTTTGGTCACAGGCTGGTTGAGCATGGAGTGCGGCAGGAGACTGGGGAGACGGGAGTGATTGACTGCTTTCCTCTGGGGGCACACTGAGGAGCGGGGCCCCAAGTTCTTGGCTCCTCTGGAGCGGAGATGGGGAGGCCGCCATTTTCCCTCTCATCCTCCAAAGCTGTACGGAAAGCTTGCAGGGAACAAAAGCTACGGAGATGAGGCACCTGGGTGACTCAGTCGTTAGTCTGCTGTCGGCTGGCTTGGGTCATGGTCCCAGGGTCCTGGGATCGAGCCCCACATAGGGCTTCCTGCTCCACGGGAAGCCTGCTTCTCCCTCTCCCACTCCCCCTGCTTGTGTTTCCTCTCTTGCTATGTCTCTCTCTGTCAAATAAATGAAATCTTAAAAAAAAAAAAAAGCTACAGAGAGCAAACCTGAGCAGATTACGTAGCCCGACCCCGGCAAGGTCAGAGCAATTCCGCCTCGGGCAAAAACATTTGGGAGCCACGGCAACAGGCCCCTCCCCCAGAAGAGCAGCAAGAAAAGCCAGCCAAGACCAAGTTTACCGATTAATGAGAACAGCAGAACTCCAGCACTAGGGGAAGACAGCACATAGAATTCATGGCTTTTTTTCCCATGATTCTTTAGTCTTTCAAAGTTAATTGTTTTAATTTTCTTTTTCTCTCCACTTCTTTTTAAAATTTTTCTTTTTCCCTTTTCAACCAACATCTTATCAATCCCTTTTATGAATAATTTTCATTTATACAGTCATATTCCATCCCTTCATCGTATTTACCCTCATTTTTGTACATATATAAGTTTTTATTTCTTTAAAATTTTGGGAGGCACTTTATTCTAACAGACCAAAATATGCCCAAAATCTAGGGTGTGGCACTGATCTATGCACCAGTCTGATATATTTGATCATATTCTTTTTTTTTTTAATCTTTTTCTTTTTTTTCTTTTTTCTTTCTTTCCCTTTCTTTTCCCCCAGTTTCAGGTCTCTTCTGATTTGTTTAGTGTATATTTCTCTAGGGTCGTTGTTACCCTGTTAGCATTTTAATCTCTCATTCATCTATTCTCCTCTGGACAAAATGACAAGATGGAAAAAAATCACCTCAAAAAAAAGAACAAGAGGCAGTACCGCCTGCCAGGGACCTAATCAATATGGACATTAGTAAGATTTCGGAACTAGAGTTCAGAATGACAATTATAAAGATACTACCTGGGCTTGAAAAAAACATGGAAGATATTAGAGAAACCCTTTCTGGAGAAATAAAAGAACTAAAATCTAACCAAGTTGAAATCAAAAAGGCTATTAATGAAGTATAATCAAAAATGGAGGTTCTAACTGCTAGGATAAATGAGGCAGAAGAAAGAATTAATGATATAGAAGACCAAATGATGGAGAATAAAGAAGCTGAGAATAAGAGAGATAAAGAACTCTGGATCACGAGGGCAGAATTTGAGAGATAAGTGATACCATAAGATGAAACAATATTAGAATAATTGGGATCCCAGAAGAAGAGAGAGGGGCAGAAGGTATATTGGAGCAAATTATAGCAGAGAACTTTCCTAATTTGGGGAGGGAAACAGGCATCAAAATCCAGGAGGCACAGAGAAGCCCCGTCAAAATCAATAAAAATAGGTCAACACCCCCACATCTAATAGTAAAACTTATGAGTCTCAGAGACAAAGAGAAAATCCTGAAAGCAGCTCAGGACAAGAGGTCTGTAACCTACAATGGTAGAAAATTAGATTGGTAACACACCTATCCACAGAGACCTGGCAGGACAGAAAGGACTGGCATGATATATTCAGAGCACTAAATGAAAAACATATGCAGCCAAGAATACTATATCCAGCTAGGCTGTCATTGAAAATAGAAGGAGAGGTAAAAAGCTTCTAGGACAAACAAAAACTAAAGGAATTTGCAAACACGAAGCCAGCCCTACAAGAAATACTGAAAGGGGTCCTCTAAGCAGAGAGAGAGAGCCTAAAAGCAGCATAGATCAGAAAGGAACACAGACAATATACAGTAACAGTCACCTTACAGGCAATACAATGGCACTAAATTCACATCTTTCAATAGTTACCCTGAATGTAAATGGACTAAATGCCCCAATCAAAAGACACAGGCTATCAGGTTGGATAAAAAAAGAAGACCCATCGATATGCAAGAGACTCATTTTAGACCCAAAGACACCTCCAGATTAAAGTGAGGGTGTGGAAAACCATTTACCATGCCAATGGACACCAAAAGAAAGCTGGGGTGGCAATCCTTATATCAGACAAATTAGATTTTAAACCAAAGACTATAAGAGATGAGGAAGGACACTATATCATACTTAAAGAGTCTATCCAACAAGAAGATCTAACAATTGTAAATATCTATGCCCCGAACATGGGAGCAGCCAATTATATAAGCCAATTAATAACAAAATCAAAGAAACACATTGACAACAATACAATAATAGTAGGGGACTTTAACACCCCCCTCACTGAAATGGACAGGTCATCTAAGCAAAAGATCAACAAGGAAATAAAGACTTTAAATGACCCACTGGACCAAATGGACTTCAGAGATATATTCAGAACATTCCATCCCAAAGCAACAGAATACACATTCTTCTCTAGTGCCCATGGAACATTCTCCAGAATAGATCACATCCTAGGTCACAAATCAGGTCTCAACCAGTACCAAAAGATGGGGATCATTCCGATTTTTGGACCACAATGCTTTGAAACTAGAACTCAATCACAAGAGGAAAGTTGGAAAGAACTCAAATACATGGAGGCTAAAGAGCATCCTACTAAAGAATGAATGGGTCAACCAGGAAATTAAAGAAGAATTAAAAAAATTCATGGAAACAAATGAAAATGAAAACACAACTGTTCAAAATCTTTGGGATGCAGCAAAGGCATTCCTAAGAGGAAAGTATATAGCAATGGAAGGCTTTCTCAAGAAACAAGAAAGGTTTCAAATATACAACCTAA